CCTTTTCTGAATTATCAAAACAGTTGATTTTTTTAAAGCAGGAAAACTACATTTTTTTCTCATGCTCTTGAAACAGCTCAGTAACTTTCAATTTTTTCCTCCCCAAAGATAACACCCAAGCTGAGAACAAACATCATTTTCAGCCCAAAAAAACTAATTTTAAGGGAAGTCATTAAAGACTAACTCGGGCCTCGGTCTTGCAAAAACTGAGGGTATGCCTAAGTGTATGTCTACACTAGAAGTGCTACAGGGACACAGCTGCAGCTATGCTCTCTGTAGCACATACACTTACTACAATGATGGAAGGGATTAGTGAATCCACCTGCTAGGTTGATGGAAGAGTTCTTCTGTCAACCTAATGGTGTCTACACTGGAGCTTAGGTCGGCTTATCGATGTCTCTCAAGAGCATGAACTTTTCACACCTCTGAGAAATGTAGTTAGGTGGACCTAACTTTTAGGTGTGGAGCAGGCCTTTGTCTTTGCAGGATTGGGGCCTTATGGTGGAACAGACATCTTATTATTTGTCAGTATTTCAGTAGTACGTACAGCCCTCAACCCTACTGTGCTATGGCTGTACAAACACAAGCAAAAAAAAAGAGGATCTCTGCCCAAAAGAGTTTATAATCAAGGAATAAGATGAGAAATAACAAGTGGATGAAAGAAACAGGCAGAGGATTCAGAACAGAATAGTGAGGTGACTGTGAACTATAGGATAAAAGATGGTCACAACACACCAGCTGTCTATCCTATCTCAACCTGAACTATAACTACTGTGTTTTCCAACACTAGTTTTTAAAACACCTTTGTAGAGACTTACAGGACACTATTATGTTTGTTTTGATTATAGAACAATTCAAATGCAGTTAACTGGTTCCTGACTCACATAGTGGAGTATTTGCACATTTAGGCCCCATTTCTGATGCATGTAAATAACTTTAGGCATGTGAGCAGCCACACTGAAACTCAATGGGACTTTTCATGTGCATAAATGCTTGCAGGATGGGAGCCTTAGTTATTGTTAAGTTAGAGTGCCTCACTAGGCACACCAAGGTCACTTAAGTTGGTAGAAAGGCCACACAGAGCTACGCCCAGCCAGTTCTGTGACTAAGTTAAAAGAGAATACATGTATTCAGTGCTAGCTAAGAATATTTTCTGAATGCTGTTTCCTCCACATAGATTCCCCAAGAAGCGTCCATACTCGCTGGGTAAACACACCACAGAAGAAAGCTTAATAGCCAGAGTAGCATGATTTGTGGAGGACGATGGAAGGGCTGATCTGTTTTTCCATAGAAATCCCTCATGGCTACCAGACAAGATTCAAAATGTGGCTTAGTTTTGTGGCAATGGAGTACATCCTTCCAACAACTAGCCTAACATTCAAAAGAAGAAACAACTAACCGAAAAACTTACTAGGATCAAGTGGTTCCTTTTCTTTGTAATTTATGAAATCGTCCTTCATCGTGTTATTCTGTTGTATGGTTATTAGACTTGCAGAAGTAAATCACTTTGGGTAAAATCTGCATACACAAGGAAACAGCACAACCTTTCAGAGACAATAGCCATTCAAAGAGTTCACATTAAGATATGTTTATGTTTCTTTATTGTTTCCTTTCAACAACTTTTCCTAGGGAAGAAAAAATATTTATCATTACATACTACTTTTACATCAGGGTAAATTACTTTTCTAAAGAACCATGTTCATTTTTAAAAATTAGGACAACAATGCGGCCTGATTCCTGGGGGTACTCAGGGCTGTGGCCACCTGCCCTTAGCACGAGAAAGCCTTGTCTGTGCCTGATGGGGGTCAGCTCCCCAACTCCAGTGTCCACAGGCAATACAAGCACTCCCCTCTAGGCCTAGGCAGGCCCTGCTCTCTCTTTACAGGTTAGCGATAGGCACATTCCAACCCCTGAGCTCTCCGAGCCTCTCCCTGGAGTGTGAAGCCCCTACTCCACTGCAAACTCACAGTATTTACAGATTTGCTGTTTGGAAAAGAACAAAACACCCCAGCTTACCAGTTCCAGCTCAGATCACCTCTTTGCTTAACACACGACACTTAGATACATTTATAGTGAAAACAAGCAAAAGTTTATTTAACAAAATAGAGATGTAATCCCCCCTTTCAATGTTGGTTTAGAACCTGAATGCAGTGCAAACAGGAGAGGGGTACCTCACAGTTTTTGGACAGTTCCAAAGTTTCGGTCACCCTGGGCTCATTTTACTGAGCTGCTGGTAGGTTCCTGACTCCCCCTACTCATATGCTAAAGGATCTA